GCCGCCCTGCTGGGGCTGGAAACCGGGCTGACCGCCGTAGCCACCACCGTAGCCACCGGCGCCGCCGTAGGCGTTGGCGCCGTACTGGCTGGTAACACCACCGTAGCCACCGCCCATGCCGCCGGCGGGACGCGAGTTGGCCATGTTGACGCGGATGCGACGGCCGTCAAGCTCCTGCTCGTTGAGGGCGGCGATGGCGGCGTCAGCCTCGCCCTGGGTGGCGAAGGTGACGAAGCCGAAGCCACGCGAGCGGCCGGTCTCGCGGTCCTTCATGACAATGTAGTCGGTGAGCTGACCGAAGGCCGAGAAGGCGTGGGCGAGCGAGTCATCAGTGGTGTTCCACGAGAGGTTTCCGACGTAAACTTTGGCGGCCATCTTGAAGTAATTCGAGTGGACGGGCTATAGAGGGATCCGAAGACTAGCTGTGTCGATGCAGGGTCGATTTTGACAGCGTGCGAGGGAATGATGCGCAAATGCAAGGTTGCGTAAGCCATGGCGTGGCATGCGTGGTTGTCGGCATAAGCAATCGAGGCAGTGTCGGTGCAAGGGCGGTGTTGGAAGAGTAGGAGAAAGAAGAGACAAGGTCAGTATGCTTGGGCCGTTGAGTCATTTGTGCTGCGGACAGACGGTGGTGCGCAATGCCGTGCGGTGGAGATGGCAGGTGGCGTGCGTGTGAACCAGCGCATGTGTGGGACGGATCAATCCGATGCGATGTAGTGCGAGATGTAGTGCGAGGAGTATGATCTGACACACTGGTAGAATGAGGAGTAGACGCATGTGCAGACGCCATCATGCGAAGCTGAGACTTACCGATACAATCGAGCCGATGCTGGAAGCCGGGACGAGAAGACGAGACGGACGAGTCTGGGACCGATGTGTTGCGATGAGAGAGAGAAGAACCGAAAACGAAGCTCGACGATACGAAACCGGGAACTGCGGAACAAAGGAGGAGATGGTGTGGCGGAAGCGAGAGCCTTGTCGACACGCGCAAAAGACTGAGCCTTTGCGGCCTTGCGGGCTTGCAGGGGAAAAGGCGGCGGACAGGTCGAGTGCGCGAGCCCAGAGTGCCAGACGCGCGAAGCCAGATCCACCTGGCTGGCGATGGCTTCGCGCGCTGGGCCCTGGTGCCCGGGGCGTGTGTCTGCGTGTCTGCGTGTCTGTGGGTCTGCGACCTCTGGCCCTCCCTCGGTGCGGGTGTTGTGCTGTGTGCGGCAGCGGCGGCGCAGCGCAGGGCAGCGCACGGCAGCGCGAGCCTTTGACGCTCGTCCGTGGCTAGCGCAACTGCCCACCCTCAGCGCGAGTTGCAGAAGCCCCACTTGGGCCTTCTTCTCGCTTCCAGCTTCCAGACAGTCAGTCGTCTTTGCTCTGACCCGCCTCGTTGGCCAGCTGACACTGCGCAATCTGGCTGCAACCGAGCTTTTGCTTTTTTTGTTTTGGAGGCTCTTTGGAAAATTTCCTGGCAAATACAAACTCTCTTCGCCTCTTTGTATTGGCCTTCTGTATTCGCTGCGGCCACTCTAGGGCACGGCAGACTCTGTCCGAATCTCATCGAGATCGACGAAAGCAGAGCCGATCATGTGGTGTCACTCGGCCGATACTGAACCAAACTTGTTACCTCCTTCCCACCTTGCAGCTCAGGAGCCTGTGTTCGACGAGACAGAGCTGGCCACGTGCGAACGCAAGGCTGGCACTGGCAAGAGCGACTTTAGGCTCTTCAGGACATCTCACACCATGCAGCATCTCGATCGAGAGAAAGCATGATGGACGCGCATCAGATGATCGCAGCAGCCGCTCTGCACTGCTCTGTATCGACCACGAGCCCGACGGCGGCACTCGTGTCAGGATCGCTTCCAGCTCGACAGGAATGCCGGAGCCGGGGCCGGCAATTCACGCTATCGCCAAGACACGCTCGCAACGTAAATGCACTTCTGCGAAAGGAGACAAGTAGCTCGTCGCATGGTCGAAGATATCTGCGAATTACGGAATACGACTAGAGACGAACGAACGAGCAAAGGATGGAAAGACTACTAGAAATACACGATCGAGGTTTGAACTGGGACTGAGAGGATACGCGACGCTGCTGACGATCAGGGGCAAAAGGAGCGAATGGAGGAGCGCGCGAGGCTACATGGGGTAGAGGCGGCGCACGAGGCGGTCACGGAGAATAGCAGAGGTTGGAGGAGGGTGCGTTGGATTCGACCTTGGAGCAGGCTCCGCAGTCGGGGCAGGTGGCCCAGAGCTCGGAGCCCGAGCCATCATTGTAGCGCACACAGAGCTGAGGGATGCTTTTGCACTGCGGGCCGTGCACGCTGCGAGAGCTGGCACTACTCCCATAGTCGACGTCCATACTGTTGGAGTCCGAAAACGAGTTGTGCCTGCCGGGAGCGGGGCCCAGGATGCCGTATGCCGACGTCGGAGACGTGGGCGGGTACGGCTCCACGTCCGGGTACTGCGATGGCGCAGCGGTGCTAAAGTAGTCGGAGCCGTTGGACGACTTGTGCTCATGGCCCGCCAGGAAGCCCGAGCTCGACGACGACGACGGCGTCACAAATGTCGACCCCGACGTGCTGGAGCCCGTGAAAGGGTTGTGACCCAGCTGCGCCAGCATCGCCTGGTTGACGTCGGCGGGCAGCGGGTGGAACTGCGCATCGCCGTTGAACACCAGACCCGCCGAACGCGGCAGGCTGAGCTTCGGTCGGACATGGAAGTCGCCCGTAGCATCGGCGTACGAGTCGAGGTCGTCGAACGCCTTGCGCTTCTTGCTGCAACCACCTGCGCCCGCCATCGGGAGCGGCGCAGCAACCGAGCCGTGGCTGAGGTTGATGGGGTTGTACGAGCTCGCCTCGATTCCGAAACCTTGAAACACCATGATGACTGTGTCGGTGTGTGTTGCGACGGTGGTGATGGTGGTTGAACCTGCGATGCGGTGGAGCAAGGGGTGAAAGAGGATGAAGAAGGACTAAAGAGGGCGCTGGCAGTGTTGCGGCGAGGCTTGCGGAAGGTGAGAGCTGAAATTGAGCGGTGCAGCGCCGGGTGACGGATGCGTAACTGGATCGTTCGCGTCGCGAAAAAGCGAGAAAAATGAGAAATGCCGGCGAAATTGAGCTGGGGAACGAGAGAGCGAGACTGGCGTGCTGCGCAGCTTTTGGCGTCGATTTTCTTTTCTCTTCCTTTTTCTTTTCGGACCAGCTGTCGAGTAATGAGTAGCTCGGTAGGGTCTACCGGAGCCAGAGTCGACAGGGAAAGAAGTGCTGAGGAGCAGGGAGCGTCGTGTGAGTCGCTTCGGAGAAATAAAGGAGTGTGTGGCGTAGTGTGGGCGAAGTGAAGGTCAGTTGCAACGGGTGCGAGCGAGTGGAAGGGGATGCAAATGTGGTGAGAAGGCAAGGTGGCCAGACGAGCTTCGAGGTTCATGTCGAGAGCGAGGGGGGTGAGGGCAAGAGGTCTCCAACGGCGGCGGCGGCATGGTCGGGCGAGAGGATTAACCGCCACAGCAGGTGGAGGGGTGACAGGCGCGACGACACGGCCAAGCGCTTCAGAGGCGTCGCCAGAACGCGCCAGCGGCTCGCCCGCGGGTCACACGGACTAAAAAGGCCGGCTCGCCAGTGGCCTGCCTTGACCCTCAAATCTGGGGTTGCTCTTCGCGTCGAGTCTCGATCATTTCACCAGGCTTGCGACTTTCAAGGCTCGAAGCGGTGCCTCAATTTGGCTTGCAGATGAAATGAAAGCGACTCGGCTGTCCGCGTCGCGCAGATGCGTCGACAAAATTCCCACAGGCTCCTCCCCCGTGTCTCGGCGCTCGCCGATTGCAAGGCTCGAACAAAGCACCTTCGATCGTCAGCCGGGGAGAGGCAGCCGCTGCCATTCGCACGCTGGCTGAGCTGTGCGCGCGCCCTTGTCCACCGCTCTCTAGCTTCGGCCAGACCGGCTGCGCCGAACAAAGGGCTTGAGAACGATGCTTGATTTGCTTCGGATCGCCCGACTGCTGCGAAACTTCCGGTCCAGTCGGCTCATCCGCGGTCCAATCGGGCCGGCCGATTCTGGTTTAGTCCAGAACCCAAGGCCCTGAGCGTCGGTGCCCAAGTTCGAAACTGTTTTGGGTGAATTTGAATCTTAGCGAGCATCTTTTCGCGCGAGATGCAGGAAATCTCCGCCTGGATCGGCCGGGCAAGAGACCGATGGGGCCCTTGATCGTGTCATTGCGCTCTCTGAAGGGTCCAGGATGCGAGCTTCGTTGGCTCTACCAAGCACCATCGCCTTCGCCTCATCACACGCTTCTCCCATGCCAAGTCTGACAGAGTCGCTGACGTGGGCGGCTGCCCTAGACAGGTTCTTGCGTGGCTCGCAGTCTGTAGTTCCGGTGCCTGGTGGTGACGACATCGAATGGCAGCAGTTCTCGGGCAAAAATCTCAGCTGTAGAGTGGTCTTCTCACAGCCCAGCACCGATGCGTCGACGAAAGCTGGGAGCAGAGAGGCTGGTATCAGCTCTGCGACATCTTGGAAGCTGTCGAGTGACCGTCAGCTGCGCATCACTGTGCAATGTGGGTCGACAAAGACGAGCGATGACCAATCTGAAGCACGAAGCGTTGCGCCTTCGACTTGCGTTGAGCGCGTCGAGCCAGTGAGGAGGGAGACAGCATCTCAGCCGCGGGAGGCCATCATACTGGTGAGAGAGAGAGACATCGGCGGCAACACGTTTGTGCGCATGCTGAAGGAAGCTGGGCTACTCTTCGAATCATGTCTCTGCCTCAGGAGGATGTCGACTTGGTGAGCGTGAACAGGACTTACTATCACACAGACCATCGCCTGGGTGCTGTCGAAACAGCGCACCGTGGTCTGGTGATTGGTATCCGCTATCTCGACCAACTGGATGCATCCAAGGTATGTTGAGCATGAGGGAGTATCCACGACGGCAAGGTCGAGCAAAGTGCTTCAACGGACACTTTTGGTTCACATTCAGTGTCATCGCATGCAGCTCCACTTCTCGCGAGAAGAGGACAAATCGTTCTTTCTTGGTCTCATAGAGGTGAGTGCAGCTCCCGACTCAAATCAGCATTGCGCTCCTGACGAAGGAAGTCTGACGAGCTTCCAAACGAGCCCAAATCGATAGCCGGAGAGCACCATGCGTGCGCCTCTTACGGCCTCGGCTAAGCTTGCTGCGCCCGCAAGCTCTGCGACGCCTACGCAAGCATCGACATCAGGGCAAATCGACGAGAGCCAGTCTCAAAGCGGAAGCCTGCTGCAGCGGCTGGTGGAGATGAAGGCGGTGCCGGTGGCCCCCAAAATCGATGATGGCCAAGAGATTAATGCTGGTGGTCCCTCAAACATCTTGCACGTGGGGACTGCTGTCGATCTCGCTCCCCACGATGTCCAATATGGCTGGCAAAGTCAGGAGAGCCCACAAGCTTGGCGCTGCCTTTCCTGCGGCAGCTCTGACATGACCACACCTGGCACGCAGACGGCTCATACGGAGCAGACCCTTGTGGATACCGACTGCACCGTCGACGACGCAGCATACGAAGGCTGGCCCTGCCCGAGCGCAGTCGACTGCATCGTGGCAGATGTTCGCAGACTCTGCCTGCCCAATCCAGCTCTGGCCGACTTGGTAGATCGATGCATCGAGGACGTCTTGTCTGGCTGCAGTCTTGATCAGAGCCAAGGCGAAGTGTAAGATCTGCACGCCCATCTCGGACGGTGGGGAGAAAACGCGCTGACGATGCGTGGCCGCGGACCGCGATGCAGGACGCCAGTCCATGCCGAGCAGTCAAGCAAGTGGGCTTCGTTTGAAATCCAATCGAAAATCACATCACCATGCACAAATTTCGGAATTTTTCAACCCTCTCTCTTCGTCTCCTCCTCTGTTTGCTGGCTTGTGCTCAGGCAGAAAAAAAAAAAAAAAAAAAA